TTTTACAAAAGATGCTTTCCCAAAGTGGCAGAGCCTAGGCTTATAAAAAAGTTCGAAAATGTCCCATCCTCCCAAAGTGGCAGAGCCACGGGTATTAGCTCGTACTGATAGAGGCTGTAGGCTGTCCGCTGTCCCGAGCCGAGCAGCATGCGCGTTGTTGACGCGTTATTTGGGTGCCCCAGCTACTAATCGGGCCTCTTGCGACAGCGTGTTTACTTACTGCCCCTCTTCGCTCCCTGCTCGATTCTCTCTGGAGCTCCAAGTTTCCAGTCGAGTTTATTGATAAGCATTCCGAGCAACTGCCGAGCCTGGCAATTCCAACGATTGGTCATATGTTCTGGCTTGTTGAAAGTGCAAAAAAGACAGGGCTCATTTTCAGGAGGGAGGCGACGGTCTGCACTGCTTCTTCATTTTCCCAATATCATGGGTTCAGCGATTGAGAGCCCTTGTATAGGAGCAGGCATTCTTGGCTAGAGAAAGCCTGAGTCATTCTGATTCTCGCCGACGACAGCTGTGAGTAGGGCTGCGCACCTGGCAGACTCATCGGAGATCTCGGTTCAGGTACCTCCGCATCGGCAACACATGCGCACGCTGCGCGTGATTCGCAGTTGGGGACTTGGAGCCGTGCGCTGTGTATGTGCGTTGGTCGTCAGGGATATCAGCGCCACTCGACGAGTATCGGCCGGGCTCTCCTTGCGCTCGGATTCACCAGACTCTTCGCATCGAGGACTCGAGTTCTACGAGCAGTTGGCTGTTTTCATCTCGTTCCGTTCCGAAGAATTGCCACCGAAGCGACCGAGCCCGGCTCGAATTTCCGCCGGCGCCAAGTGCTCGATATACTTAGACAGGTTGGCATCATATCACTTGTTGGTGTTGGTCACCCTTCATGCGCCTCGCGACTTACAAAGGGCAAGATAGCCTTTGCCTCTCGCGCTCACGACCCGCAGTCTCCACACGCCATAACGCAAGGGCATGAAAACCTGACGGCCGCTCCCTGCGTCGTTTCATCCTAATGCCTTCAGCCATGTCCTGGAAACTCTTCTGGAGGCAATTTGCCGCCCTCGTGTGGAAGAACTGGATCGTGCTTTCAAAGCATCCTTGGGTGTGTTTATATCCTGTGCCTTGTTGTAGAACAACTCTAATAGACTTCGCGCATAGCTTAACGTCCTTCGATGCGTGCTTCTTCCCATTGGATATGGCATCTTTCTTGCAGTGGCACAGCTGTTCCTCGTAAAACCCAACAACGTGAGTACTCGGCCATAAAGAGTGGGATTCTGTTCCTCACTCGATGTGCAGTACGGACTAGGCACGGCGATTGCTGTCCCAAGTCTCATAGACGAATATGATGGCTCGATGGCACTCGTCTGGGCCGACGGAACAGATGGAACAGGGTCACCATCTGCGGACGACATCATGTCACACATCACCAGCGGATTCAATCAGAAGCAGCTCGGAAGCATACAGAAAGTGATTCCCGGTGACATCCCTGCGACATGTCCGGAGAACTTCAACGGATTTTCAGAATGCTATGCTGCAGTAGTATTTAACTCGTTGCCAGACATGACCAGCGAACAAGGTGCGCCGCAGCCCATCAACTACACCCTGCGAGCGGACGGTGGACTGTACTACATAAATGTCGCCCAACATACAAGCAGCTATGAAGAGCGTGTCTTGCCACTACAATGGGCTGTCGACAATGCGATCATTGAGCTCATTACCGGTGTACAGCCCGTAACCCCGCTTGAATGGCCATTCACGCAGGAAACTAATACAGAGCAATCCACGACCATTCGTCTCAGCTACATTCGAGGCCTCCGTACTCTACTTGTTCTTGCGCTTTTCATATGTTATGTTGGTATATCATACCAGCTGCCGGGTTCATTCATGGGCGAGCGCGCTAACCTCCTGACGAGTCATCTGAAAGCCATGGGTTTGATGGATTCTGCTCGCATCATCTCGTGGCATGTCAGTATCTCGTTGGTCTACCTACCTGCTTGGATTATCGTTGCTCTCATTTGGCACTACCGTATTTTTACAGCAACCAATGCAGGTTTGGTACTCGTGGTACATCTATTGCTTGGTCTTACGCTCGCTAGCTGGTCGTTCTTTGTTGGAGCATCGTTCGGCAAGAGCCCCCAACTTGCAGCAATTGCATCGACAGTCTTTGCAATCGTATTTGCTATCCTTGCTCTGGTAGATTCGCGCGCAACAACTGGAAAGGCATTCTTCTTCACGCTCTTTTTCCCTCCGGGATTCTATATCTTTGCCATTCGCGCCATGTGCGGATTCGAGGTGCATCTGCTCGCAACGAACGTTATCCGCCCAGATCCTGACAACCACCTCACACTCCTTCCGCTCATCATCGCGGCCATCGTGAATCAGTTTCTTTCTCTAGCGGTATGACCATACTCATGTGTTTTTTTGGTAGATCGATATCTTCCTCTGGCCCTATATGGGCGTGCTCCTAGAAAGGCTGCTATATGATGCCCACAATCATTCAGATAGTTCTTGGAGATTCTGGCGGAGAAGCAAGACTTCGGTGGACGAGAGCGCATCCTCTATTCCTGAAGGGATGGCTATCTCAATTCGGAACCTCGGAAAGGACTTTAGAACTTCCTTGTTCAAAAGTGACAAAGGGCTGGTCACTGCTGTCGCCGATCTTAGCCTTGACATTCCCAAGACTGGCATTTATGTGCTACTCGGGTCCAACGGGTAAGTGTGCGTGCGAAGCGTTCCAACTCATATGACATTCATTCGGTCTATAGTGCTGGCAAGTCCACGACCATGTCAGTCCTTGCCGGTCTGCTGGGCCGTACTCGCGGGTCGGTGCTCTTTGAGGGTGGCGTTGAGCGTCCACCTCTAGGAACAATTGGTCTCGTCCCGCAGAAGAATGTGTTGTTCCCAGAGCTGACATGCTACCAGACGCTCCGTGTCTGGAAGGCGATCAAGCCACTTACAGATTCTCCCGAGGATGAGGACATCGAACAGCTTCTGCGGGACTGCGATCTAGGCAAGAAGATTCACTACAACGCCGATGCACTTAGCGGCGGTCAGAAACGGAAGTTACAATTGGCTATCGGGTTGGTTGGGGGATCCAAGAGTATGTACTTGCTCTCTTGTTGTTATCGTTGACTCACCCTTGCTTCTTCGCCAGTATTATTGGTCGATGAGGTACTCTGATTGCATGCCCAAAGCCTCATCGTGCTTATTGTTTTGTTATCAGTGCACTTCGGGTGTCGACCCACTTTCTCGCCGTGCGCTTTGGAGAACGCTGACCTCAGTACGACACGATCGGACTATCGTCTTTACAACACATGTAAGGTCATGAGTTTGTCCCCTCTTACGGGTTCCTCTAACCATCTCTTGTTAGTTCCTTGACGAGGCCGATCTCCTCGCAGATACTATTGCCGTCCTTGCAGCCCCAGGTAAACTTGTCGCACAAGGGACACCCGTTGCGCTCAAATCCCAACTGGGTGAGGGTTATACTGTGCAGGTAGTACACCAAACTGTGGAGCCCGAGGAGAAACCGCCTACTGAATTGCTCGAACGCATACATTCGCTGGCCCCCTCGACCTACATAACATCTTCCACTCCGGGCGTGATATCTTATCATCTCAAGTCCAAGGAGTCCGCGACTGTGCACAAGGTGCTGGAGCAAATTGAGTTGGACCGCGAAGCTGGTCGCGTCGCTTCATACTCAGTTTTGAGTACCTCGATCGAAGACATCTTCCTTGAGCTCATGCACAGCAACAACGATGATATTCCGGAGAAAGCTGAGAAGATTGAACACAATAGCGATGCAGGCTCTGATACTGCGGAACACAAGGAAGCGGAGCAGACAGTCAAGACACCAGACATTCCATTGCTACCTGTGCTTTCTCGAGGTCAAGCCGCAGTGCTGGAACTGACCACCGGTCGTCGAAGGTCGCCGCTAGGCCAGGCATTCACCATCTTCCACAAACGTGCTCTCATCGCGCGCCGAAGTTGGCTGACACCGTTGCTTGTAATAATCATCGCAGTAGCAGGATCCTGTGTCCCGCTGTTTTTCATCTCTGGCCGGCCGTACCAGAGCTGCGTTCAGACTTTCCGAAACACGACCAGCGTCCCGATATACCTTCCAATGTCGCCTGTGACCCTCGCTGGCGCTTCCGAGACCGTCTTTGGTGAACAAGTGCTAGCCTCTCCTCCAGGGATCCTATCGAGCCTCGGGCCGACCATGGAAATGGTTCCAGTCGACAACATCGCAAACAACGCCACGTTTATCGATACGGTCAATCAGAACTATCTCAACTTGACCTTGGGCGGTGTATCGGTTGATTTCGACACTGGCGCATCGCTCATAGCATGGGAGGCTACTCCTCCGGGATTGACCGGACTCGTCATGCTGAACCTGGCATCGAACCTGCTGTACAACCACGCACTCAACCAGAGCGGGAAGGGTGCTGGCATACCACAGATCATCGGGGCGAACTACCAGGATTTCCCTGGGTTCAACGCGGGAACGTTGGTGGCGCTGAAGTGGGTGGCATTCTACGGCGCGGCCATGGTGGGTGCTTACTGTTGGTCTTCGGTCATACTATGCTAACAACATCTGTCGTGTTTTAGGCGGTCTTCCCCGCATTCTTCTCGCTCTACGTATCGAAAGAGCGCCGCTCTGCCGTGCAAGCTATGCAGCTGTCAAACGGGCTGGCGAATCCTGCCGGCCTCTGGCTGGGTCATCTCATGTTTGATACGGTGTTCTCTGTCATCGTGGCAAGCCTCATCATCATCATCTTTGCCGCTGGTTCGAACCAGTTCACAGGGCTAGGATTCTTCGTAAGTCGCCAGGCTGTTGGTATCATGATAGTATATCGGCTCATCACAAGTGTCGTGCAGTGGGTAGTTCTAGTCCTGTACGGGATTGTTGGCGCGTTGTTCTCGTATTGCGTGTCGCTTGCTGTCACTTCTCCATTGGCCGCATTCGCGATTTCTGCAGGGTACCAAGTTGTGATGTACATTGTAAGTAACGTCACATTGGGTTTCAGGATTCTCAGGTAACTAATCTCCGTACGAAACTAGCTCTATTTGGCCGCTTTCCTCCTTACCCTTACATATGCGAAGACTGCGGCGGACAACAGGGATTTGGCACTGATTCGTACGTGCTATGGAATTGTCTAGTGCAACACTGATTGAACTTTTCCTGACCCTCCAGACTTTACTATGTCAGTTGCATCCCCTGTAGCTAGCGCGGTATGTTCTTACCTGCCATTGTACGATTGTATTACTAATTTCTAAACTAGTTGCAAGCATCGTTTGTCTCTGTCAACCTGTTCTCTCTGCTTTGTGATGGTGACAACCCAGCCACTACTTCTTCCATGGGCCAGTTGTCTCGTTATGGAGGACCCATCTTGTACCTGATTGTCTACGCGTTCGTCCTGTTCGGCATCCTTGTCTGGGTCGACTCCGGATCACTGCTTCCTCGACGGATGACCAAGCATAAGCGTACGCCTCCTACCTCTGCTGGCGATGCTTCGCTTCCTGGACGGGTAGGCCAGCAAGACGTCGACGACGAAGCGGCAGCGGTCGCCGAGTCAGATGATGCCCTTCGTGTGCTTAATGTTGTCAAGGCTTTTGGCCACTCCGAGAACAGGGTGGTGAACAACGTCAGTTTTGGAGTCTCCAAAGATACCATGTTCGCGCTGCTGGGTCCGAACGGTGCCGGTAAAACGACTACATTCAACATGATTCGTACGTTGGCCTCATTCTCGCACTCATTTATCCTCTAAGTTACGCTACAGGCGGTGATGTGATTCCCGACGAGGGTGACGTTCTTATCAATGGCATATCTGTCGTGAGCCACCCGAGAGCGGCCCGTCTGTCTCTGGGTGTTTGCCCCCAGTTCACTGCCATCGACTCGGAACTTACTGTAGAGGAGCACCTGTTGATCTATGGACGTCTCAAAGGCCTGTACCGCGGCGAGGAGCTGGATCGGAACGTCCAAGCTCTGATGAAGGCCACCTCGCTGGACATGTACGCCGATCGTCTGGCTGTTCGGCTGTCAGGTGGGAACCAGCGCAAGCTAGCGTTGGCCATCGCGCTCATTGGTAAATCATATGTCGAACCCTGGAACTGCCATACTGATAATTTGAGTCTAGGAAACCCATCTGTCGTCCTTATTGACGAATTCTCGACTGGCATAGACGCCAAGATGAAGCGCGATATGTGGAAGACTCTCAGGACTGTTGCCGTTGGGAAGGCCATTGTGATCACCACTCGTGAGTTCTGAAGTCCACTGTTTACGAAATCATGCCCTAATAGCTGGACAGACTCCATGGAGGAAGCATCCGCTCTAGCCAACAAGGTCGGAATCTTGGCAAAGAAGTTGCTCGGTATGTGTTCTTTCTTCCCTGAGCATTCAGCTCTATGTGACACTGACGGCCCGTAGCTGTCGGGACAACGGACTCGCTGGCCGAACGTTATGCGACTTATGAGGTCCATTTCTCATGTCGAACCAGAGAGGAGGTCATTCGCGCGCAGGAGCTCATGTCCCTAATACCTGGGTCGCGCAGGGCGGACGATGTGGCGACCCGTTTCGAGGTGCCGGTAGGGAACGGGATGTCGCTGGCGCAGCTATTTGGCGTGCTATCGTCACAGGACAATTTCACCGAATATACCGTAGAGAGAGCGACGCTAGAAAGTGTCTTCCTGAAAGTCATCCGAGAAAACGACGTCCTGGAAGAGGATACGGAGAGGAGGCGGCGTTGGTGGAGGGTCTGCTAGCATTAACGTTGGCACACAACGTTGGATTATATATCGCGGACACCGCTGGACTTTTGAAGATAGATATATTACATACCTGCAAAGCTTGTTCTAACCTATGTAGACACGCCCTCCAATACAGTCAGACCGTCTATACCCACCCGCCGGTTCGCACTCACGCCAGCTACCTTCGTTCGCACTCGCTTCCACCATCGTGAGACCTCGTCGATAGGCCCTTTCGGTGATAGTAGCACGGGAACGTACAGAATCCTGGCGGATTCGACCGCCCCGCTGGTCTCCCTGGCGGCTCCTCAGGTGGACATCAATCATCCCGAAGAACGTTCGTACCCAAGGTTGCACGGCTCCCCGACTCGGCCGTTTTAGCACTCACTTAGCACCACTCTCTGCCATTTGGACCACCAACCGCTGTTGAGCATTCCGCACTGTTGCCTCCGCACGTTCGCCGTACATAATGCCCCAGAAGGCGGCTGATACCGTTGCAAACCCTGTGGTTGAAGATGAGGGTGAGCCTGGCGCTATTATGCTGAATGTCGCGGCTATTGAGTTTACGAATTTGCAGAGGGAGAGGAGAGTGACGAGTACGATGACATAGACGAGGTGACCCCCTACCTGCCGCCCTATCCCTGTTTATAAACACTGAGGCTTCGTGTGTGCAGGGAGAAAGCGGCGAGTTTGTCGAGGACGGTGAAGGAGACGAAGAGGACGGGGAGCGGGCCGGAGGGGTGAGTATGCTACCTGTTAGGATTCCCCTTACTCACTCCCCCCGGGTTTTCAGAGCGGCCAGGGCTCTAGTTTGACCGCACTTCTCCTCAGCGGTGTGCGTACCGCAAACAGTTTGTTCCAAGTTCCCTCATTAATTTCCCATCTTCTAGGGAAATGTCATTAATGAGGAAGAAGAAGAGGAAGAGGAAGAAGACGACGAGGAATACGCCGAAGAAGGCGAGGAGAACGGCATCGCTCCCGCTGCTGCGCCTACTGGGACGAAGCGGAGCAGAGAGGACGATGACGACGAGACACTGCTCAGCGCCAGCACCGCGTCGGGTGAGTTGGAGGGGGACTATGGCGAAGTCGACGAGAACAGCGATGTAGTCACCAAGCGGCAAAGGACCTCCACAGATGAGGTATAGCTTAGAACTGGACATTTTTATCAGTCATTATTCGTGTTGTGTACTGGTCATGTATCTCTTCTTGTGTACATATTGCTGCGCAGGAACTGTGTATGCAGTGTACAGTAGTATTATATTCTACTTGTCTTACGTGCCATCACCAGCCAAGCGGGCATTGCCATTGAGCTATGACGGGTTGCGCTCGGGAAAGACTTTCAGCAAAGCAGTGTGTACTTGAAACCAAGCATCGACGACTAAGGTCGGGACCAAGAGCGACGTCTACTCATTGAGGATTAGAGAGTGTCGTCGCCTGCACACGGCAACCTGACTTCATTCCGACCCCAGCAACGCAGCTAGAAGCGCAGGTGCGAGCGTTGTTGACCCCCGTACGACATTGGGTATGCTCTCGTGGTCCTGCGCTAGAACAGGCTGCGGGTGGATAGCATGGAATCGCAGGACAGTCACTTGAGCGCGCAGCCCCGCAACTTCATGCGTTTACATACCCCACATCCTCCTCTTCGCTTACATCGCCCAGAAAATGCATCGAAGCGGTATGTTAGCGACTCTTGCCACTAGTGTGTACGGCCCGCACATGTCGTCTACTGGAGCAGGCAGGAAGGCCGAGGTCAGATGTCTGTCTGGGGGCGAGAACAAGCCGGAAGAAGTGACGAGCGGGCGGGAAATGCGACTCTTGACGGTTTTGCGTATGACATCATACGCAGGGCGCAGCAGCACCGACGCTGACCGAGGTACCGGCGGGGGCGCAGAGATAGTACTGGTGGCACCTATGACGATGAGAACGAACAGGGCAAGCAAGGAACCATGACGATGATAGGATGGACGTCGTCTTTAACGACAAACACTCTCGCTAAGCACGCGTCAGCTTTCGCGCCAGTCTCCAAAATGAATCGCATAACATGTGGGCATGAGGGTATAGCAATATGCACTACCTAGAGTATTGGTATAGATCAAGTGATAACAAAACAACTCCCAAAGAATACCTCACCTCCTCATCGCGCCGCCAAAGTGCTGGTCCGTTCCAACAGGCCTTGCAGCCGTCTCCCCAGCCGTTCACCTTCCATCTTGCGCTCCCAAACTTGATACGCTGGCGTCTTCTTTCTCGGCATCCAGGGCTTCGTACCCTTCTCGGCTGCCTCTTGCCGTCTAGCCCGCATAGCGGACAAATCTACGACGCGGGGTGACGTTGTGTATTTGATGACCTCGCGGTACAAAAGCTTCGACTCTGTGGACAGCGCGCGCAGCGTCGGCGGCGAAGGGGGATCGTCGGAATCGGAATCCTCAGAATCGGACTGGGTTGAAGGAATTAAAGGCGGCGTTGACTGTCGGCTGACAGACTCGGGAAGAGGGGGCAAAGACTCTATCTCTTTGAGGAGGTCCTGTCCCTTGAGATACGAATTCTCGGTACGGAGGAAACGAACAGTCCCGCGCAGAGCATCGATCTACAACTCTGTCAGAAAAGCTGCCCGCTTTCGGTAGCAAATCACGCACTTGTTCTAGCAGATAGGATGTTTCAAGACTACCTTCAACAGGAACGTTCTCGGGTTCAGCGGGTTGAGTTCCTGAAGCTGTCTTTCAAGTCAGAAAATGCTCGTGCGTGGATTCGTATAATACCTACGTTGTCGTTCGGGATTGTTCGCGAGAGTCTTCAGCTTGGCATTATCTTGTTCCAGTGCATCTAGGTCTGCCTGGAGCTGTTCCATCGCCTCCTCATACGCCCTTTCTTGTTTGCGAGCCTTTCCAAGCTCGTTCTCAAGATCCACAATAGCGTCAGCTTGCTTCTTGACGGCCTCCATGCGGCGTTCCATGAGTTCGATCTTCACGCCCGCTTCCTGAATATTCTGATCCTTGGATTTCAGAGTTCGCAGAAGGGCTTGCATCTCGTCATTGAGCTGCGCAACCTTCCGCTCTGCCTCGACGTTAATGGCAGTGGCAGCCTTGATGTCGTCGATGCGGATGACCCACGGTGCCGTACCCGAGACTGACAAACTAGTCAGGATCACTACACGCAAAATCGGGTGCAAGAAACATACTCTTGATGGTATTCTCTGCCTCCATCGACAAAGGCAGAATATTGCTCGCTTCCTGTATCACTTGCGTGAGGAATTCAGCCACAGACTCCCACGAGGAAACGTCATCCTTCCTGCCTTTGCCTACAGTCGAGGCAGCAGTTTGTTGGACGAAAGACAACACGCTAGACAATCGGAAAGGAGCTTTTGCGCTGCGAACGTCGCTGAGATGGGGCATCACTTGTTGCGCAAGCTGAAGAGAACGATCAACGAACTGCATTCCGTAAAGTGAAAATGGGCCCTCACCGAAATACCAAAGTTGACCAGTTCCGGAACAACATTGTTTAAGGCCTGAAGTTGCGGTACGAGGTCAGCCTTCAGAGCGGATGATTCTTGGGTTAGGTCCTCCACTCGTTTGGTTAGTTTCCTGGTAACCAAGCTCATTAGAGCCGAACACCAGTAAAACCTACACGGCCAACATACTTAGATAGCACTTTGGCACCTCTACATTGATCCAATAGCCCTTGTAGAGGATTGAAGAATTCTGCTTCTGCATCGAGTTCTCCAAGTTCTATGTCTACATCTGGAGGGAATGAGATGTGGCGTGGAACACCGCTCAAGGACGACGTACCCTGGTCCTTCATGATGGCAGCTACGGAAGTCTTGATGAGACCTACGGACGCAGCAAACATCTCAAGATCATGGTCAAACGACAAAGCGAATCCAAGCTCGCGCTCGCCGAGGTCGAACTCGATGCCGTTAAAATACGTTTCCACAAGATGGTCAAACTGCGCTTGCATCCTATATGATTCGGTTAGCATCGTACAGTCGGACGTTGCTTGATCGCTCACTTTGCGGCGTCACTGACGCATTCGAGCTCTCGGAATTCCTCGCGGCGCAAGAGGTCGATGTGCATGTCGATGCGCTTCTCCATAGGAGCCACCTCAGGATATATGCGCCCGACATTGAGGAAAGACTCGACATCACACTTGCGCAGGATAGCAGCGAAGCGTTTGCAAGTCGTGGAAAGACTCGACAGACGACCTCTCATCTGAACAAATGTGATGGGTTCATAGATAGAACAGCACAATCCTAGAATGTGAGCGCACCTCGCATACTCCGACGAGTATGTCGGAAACCGGGCCGTTAAGGGACTCAGGCAGGTTGTGAGATTGGGCTACAACTGTGTTGATCAAGTCGACTTTAGATGCAAGACGCTGGAAGAACAAATAACAGCTGGTTGCATCCGTATCGGACTCTACGTAGATCTGAGGTAGGTAAGGCTACATATACGACGACTAGTATCAGATCATCCCTGCATAGAACGAGACCAATGCCGATGCACATACCTGAATTATGTTCAAGAGCTCGCGAGCCTCTCGAGCTTCTATCTTCTTGACTTCCAGATCGATGTATCGAGCCTGGTTCTTGGAAGCAGACGATTGAAGTTTGAGGTTCAGAGACATCATTGCAGCTGTTTGAGAAGCAGCAGTAGCAGATTCATGCTGAGCCGTCTGTGTCTCTGCCCGGAGGGCATCCAACTCGCTGTTTATGCACGCATTAAACAGCATTCTCAGAGTAAACAAAAACGTGAAACCAACCTTTGAAGTTGCATCACAAGTTCTCTGAACTGCACAATGGTGTTCTCGAGATCTTGACACGCTTCTTCCAGAGTCACAATCCTGGACGCTTGTTCGCGGAGTTGCACATCCTTTGCATCTAAACAAAAAAAATCCATGACTAATCAGGGGGAAGGGGAAGGAAGAGAATGGGTGCTGCACTGACTCAAATCTTCCTGCATGGCCTTCTCGGTGTCGACATGGTTCTCTTCAAGCTCATCATTGAGTTCCTTCAGCGCCTCAAGGTCCTCGATAGTGATACGCATTTCCTCAATTTTCTGCAAACGACAGTGAACTAAGTTTGCGATATTTCCGCAGCACAGGGTCCTCACCTCTCCAAGCATAAGATTACGTTCCGTCAACTGAACAAGCATTTCCTCTGCTCCGAGCGCATCGTCGAGCTGTATCTTAAGTTCCTCGACTTGCGTTTCAGCATTAGTCAGCTTGTACAGAACTTCTTCAAGTTGTCCTACATGGCCAGACGGTCAATATATGGGAAGAGCAAGGGGAATCAATTTACCCTGAAGGTCGTCAACGTTGGTAACGTCTTTCTCCATTTCAGCGATACGTCTCCGCTGTTCTTGCTCGGTTTCTTGAGAAACATCACGCAGGCTAGAGAATTTTGTCATGCCTTGAATAGACACAAGAGAACACAGCCACACACCGGACGAGTGCTTCCTTCAGGCGTTCGTTCTGCTTCTCAAGTTGAACATAAGCGAGTGATTGCTTGACGTTATTGTCAGCACTGTCCTCTCCTCCTTCGGTTGTTTACTGATCAGAAGGTATTTCGTATCAACATGACAAAATGTATACATACCTTCTCCTTCCTTTAATACTTGTAGCTCAACTTCCACTACTGCCAACTTCTCCCTCACCTCCTCCAGTTCAGCTTCCGCAATCTCGGCACGCTCTTCGGCCATCTCTTTGTCCAGCATCGCCATCTCAAGCTGCTCCTGAGCATCAACGATGCGGCCGTCGGCTAGTTGCGCAAGCTGTTGTGCATCCGCAAGCTCGCGGCGCGTTGCAATAAGCTCTGTCTGCTGTGAATTCAGCTTAGCTTGTAGCTTTGGACGCAGTGCGACGAACGACTCGGCCTCGGATAGTCGAGTCTCGAGCTCGCGGACATGACGTGCATCGTCTGCACGCTTCGCCTCAAGCACACGGATCTTAGCGCGCAACTCCTGCGCTTCCTGGTCATCCTGGACGCGCTATGGGGGATATTAGAGAGGAGGTGAAACAAAGACGCTTGGCTCAGCAACATACCACTGGCGTGCTCGGCCGCGACGACTCCTGGACTACGACTGGCGGCTGCGGTTGCGGTTCCGAAAACGGTTCCGGAGACGAAACTCTGCGCAGGGAAGACGTTGGCGCTTGAGATTGCGGAGACAATGCTGGTGCAGACATTGGCGAGGGACCTAATGCTTTTGGAAACGCCCTTGAGGGTCCATCTTGACTGGTCGAGTCAAAGCTCCGCTGTCGTGCAACGGTCGGGCTTAAGCTTGGGTCAATGCCCAGAGAAGGCTGGCGTGCGAGAGAGCTTCTGGACTGTAGTGAGAGAGGTGGCGTTCGTTTCGTTGGTGAGCCAAGTCGCATAGGGCGTGGGGATGCAATAGAACTGCCATTGGCGACAGATGTTTTTGCAGGACTTGCGGCACGAGGAGACGATGGTACCGTACGACCAGGCGAGGGAGGTACCGCCCGTGCGGACGGGATTCGAGCAAGGCCGGTGCTCCCTGTCCGATGATGCCCAAGCGCAGAGCGGCCGGCGGCAGGCTAACATATGCACGGAATCAGGACAACACGAGACAGGAAGACCACCAAACGCAAGGACTGACTGCAGGGGAGGGCACGGGATCCGCAGAAACGACCTTCACTTGGCTCGGTCTCACAAAGACACCGTAATTGGGCTTGCAGTTGAAGTATCTAACGCCTTGCACTGTCCCGTCGTTCTTGCCATTGGCCTCGAACAGTTCAATTCCTACCCATCTACCTTGCGAGAACGAGGTTGCACCGCAGAACCGAACGACACCTCGACCAGGAGGAACTTCAACAAGCGCACCCAACGGTGGCTCTGTAGGTGCCATTCAAGGGACCTCCTAGTTGTCTAAATTAAATGAGTGGTGATCAATGGCTGTAAGAGTGTGACTTTGAATTACTTCGGCCAGTGTTGCTAGTCTACAGGCGCACCGTCAGTGTGACTGTGAGAGCTGTGAGCCTTTGCGATCACGTGCACTGCCGGCTCGCCTGTCTCATGGCAAAGTCACAGTGAAGGTATGAAGTTTCCGAATCTCCGGATCCCAGCTTGACCATTCTGGTTGAAGGCCACTGAAATGGATATACAGTATGTGGGCCTCTAGTACGAGATGGCGTACGAGTTCCCAATCGTCATCATGTTAATAAAATATCATGCAGTCGTAGCGAAACTCAAGGCTATGTACTAATGCACACAAGCCCAGGATGCACAATCAGGACATTCGATTGTCACCCCGGTCGGCAACAAATCTCCTAAGCCAGCGGATGCTGTCGACATCTTTAACCGCGTAATATCCAGCTTTAGTCGGACTGTAGCACATAAAATTCAAAATAAAATTTAAAACAACTGAGAAAAAACGGCGTACTCTGCACTGTGTGGCTTCATATAGCACCGTCCGTTCCACCCTTGCCATAGCTCGCATCCATATGTAGAGCGGACTGCAAACCGGCCACACGAACAGCCTTGGCCGGACGAGCGAGCGATGCCACTCAATTGCGGTGTGTCAAATATTCCGCGAGAATCTTACCGACTTCGGCGAACTCGGGCAATGAATATCTAAAGTTCCACCCGAGCGGTTCCGCCAGCGGTACTTCAGTGGGAAGGCGTGAGGCACTGGACTGGCCGTCCAATGTCATTCCAGTGGCTTCACGGTGCCCATCCTAGTACCACGCCAATCAGCCGGTAGGGACAGTGGAGTCTGGCAAGATCACTAGCGATCGGAACACTTATGGGCTTAGCCTCTCCGCGGCCTATTTATTGGGTCAATACCTGCAAAATTGACGTTAGTCGAGCTAAATCGTAGCAACGGTATCTAGACAGACGGACTAGTCGATTTACCGGTGACAGTATGAACCGAAGCCTACCCGCTCAATCATATCGCGCAACCTTACTATAGCAAGTATATATGGACAGGGGTGCCGTCACAATGGCACCAGAATGGGTAGCAACCAATGTAATCGGCCACTCCCCCAATTGGCGATCTCACACGGAAGCAAAGTCGATCCTGTCAGAGGCCTGCTCAGCAAGCATATCGAGGGGCTGTGTACAGGCGAGCACTGTAAAAGCGAAACGCCACATCGTAAGCGGAACAGCCAGCTTTGAGACGAATGGAGAATACCCCTCGTTGAGTCGGCAATTTTCCGATACGTGATCGGGCCACGACCACGAACAGACAAAGCCAGCCCAGGGATGCGTCGTGGTGGTCGTGGAGAATGACTGATCCGTTGTACCCTCTATAAAAGAAAATTCAAATTCCTGCTGGTTCCTCCGTGTCGCTCGGTATCTCGGCAGAGGACGCAGATCGTGCATTACGGCAAGCGAGAATGGGCCCAGAGGCAGCATGCGCTAAGCGCAGTCAAAGATTTCTTCTTCATGCACGTTCACGGCCTAATTTGCGGAGCGCAGAAGGAGGCAGGATGCTGGCGAGGATGACATTAAAGCTGAAGGGGACGACGGAGGGCCGCGGGAGGACTCCTCGTTAACATCGCAGCCGGGTCTGGACTAGTTTGCTGACCTAAGCCAGCGTCACTACCTTCCCGGGGTCACTGAAAGGTTTGAAGCCACCGCGAGCGCTGCCGGACACAGGCGAGTCGCCCCGCCCGGTACACGTCTTCTCTCGTCCATATTATCTTATGGATGTTCTTCCAAATGAGAGGCTCCTCGCCCCTCAGTGGTCTCCAGAGGTACTTATCCCCATGGCCATCCCCTCACTGCGCGTACGCCAATGCTCATTCGACGCCCAGCTCGTCGTCCTCTCATATTGTATCTCGTGGCTTGGCGCATACACCAGTACCCAAATTATTATTCACGCCAAGTACACTCGCAATGCCTGGATCAAGTGGTTGTGGACGTTTCTGGCCAGTCTTGCATACGGATTCTGCGCAATATGGTGTATGCACTTTGGTACGCATTCGAGTTCTTCTTGCCTGTCCCCCGGCGTTTTGCACGTTGAGAAACCGCTTTCGCGATCCTCACTACTCAGACTGAATTTTTACGCGTTGTGGCCCGTCGTTTCGAAGAAACTGAAAGTTTGGAGACTTGATTGACCCGCGTAACTCCTGTTACCAGTCAGCAGCTTCTGGTCGTTAAGACTCGTATCCTGAGGACTCCTCACACAGTACTCAGACACCCATGGTCTCACGTGGGGAAATGCTTTTAGTTCATTTCTAGCCTCGTCTAAGGCATAATTTACGCCTTTGGTAATGGGTCGTCATACCCGTGTCATTGTTCATCTTTCTTTGGCTAATTAATTTTCCGAGCACCACGAGTAAATTCCTGCGTCATTCCTCAAGTTTTTGATTTCTGGAGCCACAGGCTATCATAGATACCATGTGTTACTCTGTCTCCTGCAGTATAATAGCTCATGATCTGTTTAATACTTTCTCCTGCATGGATACTCTGTGACTCCATACTCACAATGTTCTGATTTTAGTGGGGATGCTGGCCTGCCATTTGGACATCCATATTGGATTTGACTTCTACCTCACCATCCTCTCCGCTGTCGTCGCCGTTGGGTTCACGTTTGCGGCCTTCTCAAGTCCATATATTTCGGATGCGATTGGGGACTCAAGATTCTTGCATGCAATCTCGCACCTCTTCAGAGCCATACGCAGGTGCATCTTTTCATGTTGCCCCAAGCGTGATTTAGAGGCAGGATACGAGGCTCTGGGACAAGGAGGGGAGGATGACCGACGGTCCAGTACCTCACAAGATCCAGAGCCTCAAGGCGAAGAACAAATTGACTACCAGGGCATAGATGACGATGAGCGGGAGGCTTCTCTCGAGCGCACAAGTCTCGAATCGGTCTCTGTGACGGAGCTCCCCGAGCGCGCACCCGCCCCTGCCTCCATTCCTCAGCCGCTCCCGGTGCAGACTCCAGTGCCGCCCCCAACGCGTGGGCGCCCTCATGGCCCCGCATATACCCGCCGCATCTCCAGTGGAAGCAGGAAATCCCAAGGCCATAGCACGACGCTCAAGTCTCCCCCACTTGTGCGGCAACGCTCTCTTCCTCGTGTACGACGACTTAGCACTGAGTCGGGAAGTAACTCGCCGAGCACTGCTTCGAGCTCGCTCTCGAGCTCAGACTCATCCTCGCGGCATCGCCAACGCGGCTCGGGGAACAGTTTGTCAGGGACAACACTTGCCAGCGGGACTACTGAATCGTCGTCTTCTTTATCTTCGTGGGGCGAGAGTCTACATGTAGGTTTAAGCAGGGAGACACGCTTACGCATCAAGGCGCGAGCTCGGGAGCGGCCGCTTCCTACTTTTGGGTGGCGATACTGGATGAAAGCGCATTGGCAAACGATTACGGCGCTTGTAGTTGTAAGGGCGGCGGTGTGGGGGCTAGCGCTAGTCATGATGCATTACTGCGGTGCGTGCAGTGGCTGTATAATTGATTCAACAGTATTGAGAAATACGTGTAGGAATGTGGGCGATGATCATCCCAAACGGACATATTTCTTGGGATCTGCGCATTGTCGTTCTATCTTACGTTGTCGCGTTTACCTTGTGTCTCGTCTCCTGTGCTACTATGGAGCACATCGAGGTTCATTTTGGACGTCAAGTCGCGTTCAGTACGATATCAGCTGCAGGTTGCTGCTCCATGCACTACACCGGTTCGTATTATGATCGTGAACTTCGGCTTATATACCTGACGCTGAATGTTTGCTCAGGCATGGCTGCAGCAACGTTTTACACTTATAGCGCACCTGCACCGCCTGGCCAGGCTGGATATCCGGCATATCTTCCCATCACCATAATAGGGATTGCTGTATGCGTATGTGTCGTCTCGAACGTCGTGCTTGCGCATAGCGCAATTAATGCACGCAACCGTATGGCGGAGATGATTCTCACAAAGAGGAGGCTTTGGCGGATTATGGCGGAAAAAGAGGCAGCGGAGCAGGCGAACGAGCTTAAGCAGCAATTCATAAGCGTGGCAAGCCACGAGGTAAGAAGAGCGTGTCCGTGCGGTTACGTGACTGACTGTTGGTTTATCGTGGTTCGTGATTCGCAGATCCGAACGCCGCTACATACAGTGAATGGGTACTGTGAGCTTCTTTCACGAACGGACTTGACGGAAGAGCAGACACTCTACGTCTCAAGTATTCAACAAGCCTGCCATGCTATTAATGTCATTGCAGGGAACGTGCTTGGTATGCATCACGTTCGCTAATTTTAATTCACTGTTCATGGACTTGTGACTCTAGATTTTAGCAAGGTTTGCCAGACCCCTTCTCATCATGGCGGACATCCATTTATATTCATCCGTAGCTTGATCGTAACAATGTGGAGCTGTCCGCGCGACCTGTGCTCATGCATCTACGGAAAGTGGTCGAAGATCTCGCACGCATACAACCTTCCCAGCCAGGCGTCGACGTCGTTATATCGGTGGTGTCTGAGGTACCAGAAACTGTGTATCTGGATGAGACGTATACGTTTCGGGTATGTGTCATAATTCGTACATCTTATTTATCTCACTGACATAGAATGCTTTTCGAAGGTCCTCATGAATGTAGGTTTTTGCGAGCAGGTCAATGACCCACTGGCTAAATCATCGTATTTGTCCAGCTCCTGTCTAACGCGCAGAAGTTCTGCGAGAAGGGATACATTTGTGTCTCCGTATCCATGGCTGCGCCAGCTCAGCTCATGATACAAGTACGGGATACAGGCTGCGGCATTCCCACTAATTTTCGCGATGCTCTGTTTCAGCCGTTTCGACAGGCCGATACATCTATGACGCGCGCACGTCAAGGCACTGGCTTGGGTCTTAGCATTGTCAAGCACCTTGTTCAGCGCATGAGCGGAACTGTCGATGTAGAGTCTACCGAAGGGGAGGGAACGATGTTCACGGTGAAGCTCCCCGTCGCGCTATCAAATGAAGAACAATCTCGCCCGGATTTGTTGGACCTAATGGAGGGTCCCAAGCCCTCTTCGCGCAAGCGATTGCGTGTTGTTCACTCGGATTCTCGTACAGAAGCCCTCTTCGTCGAGTTATGGAGGCAACACGGGCATTTCTCCTTGGCCGGGATCACCGAGAACTCGGTGGAAGCCCTCTCACGGAACGCAGACGCTATCTGGGCAGATGCTGAAAGCGTCGCATCCTCAGCATTACTTCGTGCGATGCTGTGCGCACGAACACCACACCCTTTGCCTGTGTATATAGTGTACAGCGAGTTGCACGATCTGTCATCGCTCGAGCCTGAGTTCAGCGATGCGCGGAACGCAGTGCTCGTGAAGCGCCCTCTCATACTACATGGGCTGCGGGAGGTAATCGAACAACCAGAAGCACACATGGGCACACATCTGGTCAAGGATACACCAAAAGTCCGCTTCGCTATCCCAGCGGGACGCTTTGATGTAGTGGACCCCTCGACATCGAAAGACAAATTTGTGGAGAAATCGCCCGTGCCAATAGTCTCGGCGGAGGAGATTGAGCTGGAAACAAAGGTGAAGGAGAAAGAAAAGGTCTTGTTAGTTGAGGACAATTTGGTACGTCTCTACTGAACTGTTACTTGGTCAGTCCTTACGAACGGATTGTTTAGATCAATCAACGCCTCGGCCGGAGACTATTGGAGAAACTGGGGTACGACGTTACCGCAGTAAACAATGGCCAACAAGCCATTGATGCGGTCTCGGAAATATCATACTACTGCTGTCTGATGGACTGTCAGGTGAGTGTGACTCGTCCCCGTCTTGCACTCCGACTGAATGCTGTTTAACACGGCAGATGCCAGTAGTAGACGGTTTTACCGCCACTCGAAAAATTAGAGCGCTAGAGCAGGAGGGAGTGCTCCCTGGTCATCTTCCCATAATCGCGCTTACCGCAAACGTAACTACTGACAGCGAGGACCGGTGTCGACAGGCGGGCATGGACCATTTCCTTCCCAAACCCTTAGTGCTAAGCGGTATGTGTGTATTTTTTTGTTCGTGGCAACAAGGTCCTTATGTTATCATCCCAGACCTCGACGACACACTCACAACACACGGAAGATCTAACCCTAATCGATGATTATTTATTCGCGCGCATGTCTATCTCACCGTCGTATATACCTCGCAGGACTTACTGTACATCTAGTTCCGGCCTGTTGCTGGGGCCTATTTTGCTCGTCGCATTGCTGTCGATTTTAAACACGTTGCATTATTGACTCTCCCCTGCTCTACTTATCATATTGGTCCTGTTGTTAGCTACGCCGTAGACATGTATCAGTGTCAGGCGATATCTGGGTGTAATAGTTGTTGTATCCATAGGAATTCGAATTAGTACACACGAGGCATTTCGAATATCATTGTCATTCTGGTTGAGGGAAGAAGGGTAGAGACGATGCGCGGGCGAGCTAGGCTATGATCCGAGAGAGCACTCAGGCTGGAGGCGGCGGTAGCGGTCTGGTGTCGGTCTAGTGCGGGAGATCGATAAGATAACGCGGCGGAAAGGTGGGCGCAAATCGCTGGGCCTGCGTCGGCCGGACGCGAGCAGAGCACCGTGGATTTATACACTCTCAGTCTCAGGATTGTCCGTTGCACTCTTGAACTCCCACCACCATGGTCCAGGTCAAACACAAAGTCTGTCTCATGTGAGTGCTTGCTCACAGGCCTACGTACAGAGTGCTCACCGTGCTTGATCGGGGATTGCAGCGTTCACGATGGTTGGGGAGTGGCCCCGGAGCCCAACATGAAGGGTGATGCGATATCTGCAGGAAACACCACGAACATGGACACCATCGCCAAGGACCACAGCGTGCGCACATTGAATGCCCACGGTCTGGCGGTCGGCCTGAGCGATGGGCTAATGGGAAACTCGGAAGTCGGGTGAGCGGCATTTGGGTTTCCTCTGCTACAGCATACTGAATATTGTGCAGACACCTGAACATCGGTGCTGGGCGGATTGTCTGGCAGGACATCGTCAAGATCGACGTCTCAATCAAGAAGCGCCAGTTCCACAAGAACGAGGTCATTCTGGAGAGCTGCAACCGGGCGAAGGAAGGCAATGGCCGTCTGCACCTTCTCGGCCTGGTAGGTATCGCACCAATCACCCATCTACTTTATGTTCTAACACCGCGCTTAGGTGTCCGACGGTGGCGTGCACTCTCACATCCGCCATCTGCTTGCACTCCTCGAGACCGCCAAGGAGGCCGGTGTCCCGCATGTCTACATCCACTTCTTTGGCGACGGTCGCGACACTGCGCCCCGCTCTGCTGCTGGATATGCCAAAGAGCTCCTCGATTTCATCGAGAAGGAGAAATACGGCAAAGTCGCAACTGTTGTTGGCCGCTACTACGCTATGGACCGTGACAAGCGCTGGGAGCGCGTGAAGGTCGCGATCGATGGTCTAGTCAAGGGCGAGGGGGAGAAGGCTGAAGATATCGTCGCAGTCATCGAGGAGAGGTACAAGAAGGACGAGACGGACGAGTTCTTAAAGCCTATCATCGTCAACGGAGCCGAAGGCCGGATCAAGGGTATGTATGCGTCTGGAACAGATGCGCTTGATGCTGCTGAAGATGATTTTCCTCTTCAGATGATGATACTTTATTCTTCTTCAACTACCGATCCGACCGTATGCGTGAGATTGCCTCCGTATTTGGCCTTCCTGACAAACCCATGGAAGTCGACATTCCGAAGAACCTTGTATGCTGTCCTCAGTTCCTGCTACTTGTACGAGACGATATACAATATTGTTATTTTTCTTATAGCACATCAGCACAATGTCAAGATACAATGCCGAATTTCCTTTCCCTGTCGCTTTCCCTCCTCAAGCGATGACCAACGTCCTTGCTGAGTGGCTCTCTAAACAGGGTATCAAACAGGCCCACATTGCTGGTATGTGGCTCTTGTATGTAATTCATTGCATATATCATTCGTTACAGAAACGGAGAAATACGCACATGTCACGTTCTTCTTTAACGGTGGTGTTGAGAAACAGTTCTCTGAGGAGGAGCGACACATGATTCCCTCGCCCAAAGTCGCGACATACGATAAGCAACCCAATATGAGCGTCCAGGGCGTCGCAGACAAGGTGGCCGAAGTCGTCAAGGAGGGTACCCATGAATTCGTGATGTGCAACTTCGCACCGCCAGACATGGTCAGTACCTAACGCTTCCCCACATCTTTCGTCTCTTGACATGGACCCTCCTGATATTTATAGGTTGGCCACACGGGTATCTATGATGCTGCCGTTGAGGCCATCACCCACACAGACGCGGCGGTCGGGACGGTCTACAAGGCATGTCAGGAGGCGGGCTACATTCTGCTCATCACCGCGGATCATGGGAATGCGGAGCAGATGATCAACCCCGAGACGGGTGCCCCACACACGGCCCACACGACGAACCCAGTACCATTCATCATGACGGGAGACCCCAAGAAGCTTAGCTTCAGCGTCGATAAGAATGACGGTGACGAAGAAGGGGGCGCCCTGTGTGACGTCGCGCCGACAGTGTTGGATATAATGGTGAATTATACCCTTGTCATTCCTTCTGCGAGAACTAACATTCCTTGCGTCGTGATTGCAGGGCCTATCAAAGCCCGACGGTGAGCTATCCACATAGTCTGCCTCATATGCGTACGATGCTGACAAGTCGCTGTAGATATGTCTGGCCGTTCGCTCCTGGAGAAGGTAGATTAGAAGATATAGAGCGTAGAAGATATCCAATCAAACTGTAATACATCTTTGTGTCTATAGAAATGATCAGAGCAACATGGAAAATTGGAAGGCCATGTATAACAATACAAAACACCGCAAGTTGATTTATACTGGTCCTGACGAGAGCCAGTATGAGATAGTCAAGAGCTCCGTCTAATTAGTCACTGAGGGCATGACCCTGCGGCTGGGAATAGAGACAAGTATAATTAACGTTGTTGTACACACACCAGAGTTAAGACTGGGTTTTCAGCGCCGCATTACAAAATAACCAGTGTATCAGCCTATCTAACACAAATCTACACAGGGTAAGGGGCCGACTCGGAGTATAGGGCACGCCACTTGCAAGCACACTGAGAAAATGTCGAATAATGCAGTGAGGTTCGGGTAGGTAGGCATGCATATAATCAACCATTGAATGGACGCGGTGCCTCTCCAGAAGACGTGCTATACTGGCTGCCCGAAGAATTCGAAGATGGATTCCTCATATATGGGACGATTGGCATGCTATCCAGATGCAGCCCCGAGCCCGAGCGCACCATCATTTCTGAGGCGACTGCAGGCCCGTACTGCTCTGCCAGTTGACTGATGCAAATGACGTTATGGATACTGTCATCGACAGATAAACACAATCATGACGAACCTCGCATAATTCTCCATGATTATCGCCAAGCTACTGACGTCTAGTTGGTATGGTTTGGGCATCATGCCTTTCCCAAACCGGTAGGTTACGTGACTTGCAGACAATATGCTTGCGACCATCACCGCAATCTGCACGGGGACAGCCGCGAATACGATGGTGTACCACCATCCGAGCACTGCGCGTTCGAAGCGCAGAAACGGCCCTTTGCAACCAGGTAGGACGCTGCGCGCATAGCAGGTCTGACTCACTGCTGCCTCGACAAATGGACTGAAGTATCCGCAACAGTGGAGCACGTCCTGCACCCGTCGGCGTCCTGACAGTCCGAGAAGCTGCGACCACTGCTGGCCGAGCTTCCCCTCTAGGTTGAACGTCCGCCGTTTATAGGTAGTATATCCGGGTGTCACCAACAGCCCGAAGCACACCCACAGGAGCGTACAATAAACTGCGAGGAACGTCCGGTTGTTCAGCAGTATCCCGGACCACCCCACGAGCGCCGTCAAAACTCCAAGCGAGGCAGCAAGGGTGCTGAGGATGAGCTCCATATGGTTCGCAACGCGGATGATATCTGCATTCGTAAATATGTTGAACCAGAGCATGAGGCACACCACAAGGCCTGCGATGGAGTACATTGTGAACTAGAAGGTGGCAGATGAGGAAAAAAATCATAACGTAAGGTGATCAGCGGACGTACCACAAAGTTCGACACGAATAGCGTCCATTTGAACCTGTTCCAGCTCTGCCGCCGCTTCGTATAGCCACTTTCGTGACCGCTGACCATTAGCCTGTCAAAGTCATCGTCGCCTTCACCAGGCATGCGCGCCTCGTCACTCTTGAATGCCTCGCGTCCGCCACCGTGTTTGGGGAGTGATGCATCTCCTGTTCTCCAAACCTTGCGCCTCTTTGGCCCGCCAGAGAGCAAAGTGCTTGAGAACTTAGATGGGAGATAATTGACGCTGAGCGAACTGGGGACGCTTTTTGCATCGCTGCGGTCAGAGCCGACATTGTGTAGGCTGCCGTTGTTGTTCAAGGAGCCCAGAGTGCTGGACCTCGACTGGAAGAGAGCATGGGGAGGCTCCAACGAAATACTCTCATAAGTCTCCATGTGTATCACGCCGTCTAGGCTAGAATGTCACTATTTGCAATTCGGTAGGAATTTACACTGCAGAAAAGAAATCAAGACTACGCTGTAGAAATATAGTTGCACGGAGGCACTCACCTATAACGCGGTATGAAGAACGGTTGCGGAATAGATGCCGGAAAGGTCGCATACAGCGACTATATGCGTTCAACATGACGCTTCACGTGAGCGAGACAGCTACACTGACAGCTACACGATCGGGCACCATCCCCACGAAGACGATTAGAGGCTTACGGCCTCGGTGTGCATGCGAGACCAATGTCCAACTCGAAATCGGTTATGGCTCAAGGATTGAAGTGAATCATCGCTCGGCAGTGCATGGCACGAAATTATGTGCTTGAATCAACTAGTGGGCCTCGTATTAAATACCTATAATTTTACGCAAAGTGACGGGCTAAACGAAAGAATCGCTCACCTCGAAGGGTGTGCCACATCGTGGCAGCCAATTGAAATCAAGCCAAGCAAGTATACGTGCTTGTCCCTTCTTCACTTCTCACGGTATGATTGCGAGTACCATTCGTGTACCGCCAGTGACACGGCTGAGGTCGGGATCCTCTACGTTTGGAATATATGCCCACCCGCCACATGTACAGTCACGGTGTGAGGTGCCAAGCGCTGGCCAGATTTTTGCACATGTCAAGGGAAATCTCGAGTGTGCTCATCCACCGATGGTAACACGCATACGTGATTCCTATATAATATTGTGACACCATAACTCACCGTCAGCAACGTCAAGCCTGAAGTCAAGATGAAAACTCACGATTGTTGCGGGTTTGTGCAGATGACAATGAGTGCCAAGTCCAACAATGGGCGGCCAGTCTTATGCTGAAATGTTTTGCCAGCAAGACGCACCGGAGCCGAGGGAGGATGACGACGCGCGCGACGATCTGAGACAAGGCCGCCGCTTCTTGCACCTTAACCACCACCATCTCCGTTAGACGCCCGCCTC